AATGCATCCCGTGCACACCCCCGTGCGCAAGATCAACGCCTGCGAGCAGCAGCTGTAGCATTGCGATAAGAGTTATCTTTCTATTTTGGGATAAGTAATTAGAGGGTTTTACATCCCGTGTCGTTCCCGAGAATTTTTATCTAAAATTTCGGGAAAAAACCTGATTAATTTTTTATTCGCGCGCTCACGCACAGTAATTGTTCGCTTTTATAACGTTTATAATATATTTATAATATAAACACATTTATAATTTATTGACATTAATAACAAATATATCACTATATTTAATATACTTTTGATAATTAACATATTAATATTATCATTTATACATATGTGCATATTTGTGGAACCGTTTAGACGAGAGAGTAGCGACACTAATTGAAATTTAATGACGTTGTAATCAGTGCTAATTCCACGTCATGAAACATTAAGTAGGTTGCGATGTATTAATTATGAGGCGTTGCGCGACAAAATAAGTTATTGCTGTTTTAAGTAATAAACGCGTTTAACAGGTGGTAGTCTTTTTAACACATAGGGCAACGGGAATAATGTTCTTATCCTCGGGGATTATCTCCGGAAATGAGTTTCGGGTGAAGATTATGCACGCGCCGCTTCCTGACTCCCCGGCGTACGATAAATTCGACGAAATAGCAAGGCCGCAGCGCGCGCGATTTCCGAAACTCTTGCCGGCGCCTTTTGCCTCTTTCTCCTGCACCCTTTTCGCCGATGTGCAAGCAAAGAACTCGCTTTTCGAGCAACTTTTCTCTGTCTCTTTCTCTCGCAATCTTCACTCGTAAAAACTTTGCTATTTCATAAACTACGTTTGCATTTACGTATATATGTGTATATATATATATATAGATAAAGCAACTCAGCGTATTCTTCCGGAATATAATAAGCGCGCGCGTAATTGCATTTCGCTTTATCCGCGGAGATACGCGGATAAATTACGCGTGTGCGAAATTGCTTCAATTAGCGCGGCAAAATTTGTTGATACGAGGAGAAAATGTTTACGGTGCTCGTAAACACGGCCAGTATCGCGGACGATTTACGCTAATATCGAGGGACCTAACACGATCATGTTTGCGAGGATAAGGACAGTGGTACTTTGGTTTTGTTTTTTTTTTTTTAAGTCGCGCTGACACCGCTCGATTCTATCCGTATGGCGCCGTTTTCGCCGATGATATTCCATCGCCGGGATGCTCGGAGAGAACTTTGATCAGACATCCTATGTAAATTGCCCTACTTTCTCTCGCTCGTTCATCTAGCTTTACACGATTTGCGTCAGCGCGCGCAAACAGTTATTTGTGTTTATTTTATTTTATTCTTTTTCCTTCGCCAAGTCTACGCACGATGGATGGACGACGATGATAAATGCAAGAGAAAATGATTAAAAATAATAAAAACAAAATAACGGAGAGAGACAAAAGTATGAGTTCTTTATCTTCTTTTACAAGAGTTCAAGCTTATGATGCTTGAAGGATCTCGAAATATAGGTATATAAATTCGATTCCGCGCAGTTCCGTGATTTAATTCACTCGGAAGAACAGTAATTCGCGCGACGTAAAAATTAACAGAGCGAAAGAAAAAGCTTTCAGTCGGCGACCTTTCGCGCTGCAGTTTGACGGAGTTTTATACTGCAGACGTATTGATTTTACTTACCGGTGTGTGGCATAGAGGAAAAATAGATAATGAAGAGAGCGTTGAACGAAATAAAAAAAGCTAGCGAAAGAAAGAGGAAATTAACTACGGGGAGAGTCTTATTCGCAGTCCACTTTCTGTCCTGTATTCAATAAAAGCAGCAGTCTCTTTAGAGTATTTTCTACGGAACGAGGGTGCGAATCTTCACTGAGAAATATGTACGCGTATTTTAGCTGATAGAATAAACGCTCAGTTTGATAACCCAGATATTTAATTTCATTCCTCTCTTTTATTCTCTCTCTTTATCTTTCTTTCTCCCTCTCTCATAGATTATATAAAATATATACTTTATATACATAGTACAAGTAATGTAATATTATATTTATTTAATAATTTAAAATTATATTAAAGAGTAACTTAATTCTCTCTCCCTTTTTTTTCCCCTCTAATTGAAGCGTGAACTCTGGAGCAACCAGTCATTTATTTGTCTTAACACAAGCTGACCCGATTACGGACTTCATTCCTGACAAAACAAATTACAGATGCCAGCGGCTATTTCTACGGAATAACAAAATTTTACTTTATTTTTTTTTTGGCGAGTAAGACATGAACGAGGCGACGCGAAAGATTAATCAGTGGTTTCCGCGAGACCTACTTTCTCCACGTTTCCGTTCTACGGAAAAGTTCCCCCACGATCTCTTCTCCTCACCTCATTCTACCTCCATTGAAAACTTTTATCCATTTATAAAATCTACCGTGCGCTCCGTTTAAGGGGGTCCTTTCTATATGATAGAAGATACTCCGTTGCTCGATGTAAACGATGTTTCCCCAGCTTCGTACGAAGGGAAAACTATTTTACGCGCGCGCGTTACACACGTGCGCAAACTATGTTTTTGCACTGCATGCGGTGCAGTGGAATCGATCCCGCGAAAGATATTCTCGGAAACGATGGGAATACTCGCGCGGACGAGTATTTATCCTCGTGCGCGCGTTTTCAAGCAATACCAATAAACATTCATCTTCACGGATTCTAGCGATCAATTATTGGCGCAGCTGTAAAAGGATGCCATTCGCGTTACGGGGGTGCGCTTCTATCTTCTTTTTTTTTTTTGGTTTTTTGTTTTTTTTGTTTTTTTCATTGTAGCCGCCGCGCCGCACTTCGATGCCGTTTCAATTTCGCCGAAACGGGGAACATAGCCGTCCATGAAAGATTCATAATCCTGATATTTTGTTATCGTACGTGTCTGAGCGTCGCGAATAAATCTCCCGCACATTTCTCCGGCGGAATTTAGCTCAAGGAAACCGATTCGCGGGATAGATCGTGTTAACGCGCCCGGAGCCTGAGTATTCGCAGGAAATTCACGGAAACCTTCGTGGAAACCGCGGCAGTGTTCCCATGAGAATATTGTCGCGCGCACGCGTGTAAATGCGATTGCTTTCAGCTACTGCTGTACACTTCAAATTATGCGTCCCGTATTACACTTTATATACGTTTTACGTATTGAAAAGATCGCACACTTTACACAACGGGTGTGCGTAGCTTGTGGATATTATACAAAAAAAAATATATATATCGAAATTGTGTTATCACAGCGCTGTTTCGTATATCGCTTTATCTACTCTTATTTAATAATTAAATAATAAATCAATTCGAAAGAGAGATTTTTTCAAATATGAAATGATCGAGTTTTTATGATGTTTATATAAGACATACAGAGCTTTACGTCGTAGAAATCTTCCGTGTTTCAATAAAAAAAGAAAAACTCTAGACTGTTACACACTCCAATTAATCTTCAAACAGTTGACTTTCTATAAAGGGAGTTGACTTTCTCTATAAATCTCGATTCGACTGAGAACTGCTCTCTTATTCGTGCTATCGTCCTCGTCGTCGTCGGTGCCGGGTGCATTTACAAATCTTTCACGATGAAGTGCGCCACCTCTCGAGAGAGTGCACCCCGTGTCCGAGGGGCGTAAAAGCAGCAGGGCCACACCAGCTAGGATACCACTGGAAGAGAGAGAAGTCCGTGCAACCCTTCTCTCTTTCTCTCTTTCTCTCTCTCTCGTTTATCTCACTCTGTCTCTTTCTTCACGTGAATGCAAGAGAATGATGCAGGATTTGTCGCCGGAGCGAAGGATGGCGGCAGGGTCAGTTTGACCCAAATGCGAACCGGGCTGGCCGACAGCCAGCACGTCGTGTTCCCCGAACGTCCCTCATCGACATACTCACACACGTACACGCGTGTGAGAGAAAGAGAGTTCGAATTTTTACTTATATTTTTCCGGCGGAATCATTGCGCCGTACACGCGGCGGACCGGATACGCCCGGCGCAGCCGATATCAATTTTCAGAGCTGATAAGTTGATCGGTTGTCACACACTCGCCTCGTTCTATTAACTTGCAAAACCGCGCGGTTGGTTTCTCTCTCGGTGTGTATTTTCGTTGATTGACTAAGAGAAACGTGCGACTGCGGACAATGCTCTCTCGATGGTCGGGGACAATTTTGACACAACCATTCCGTGTTATTAAGCGCGGCGACACGTCGAATTAATTCTTGAAAAAAACTGACGACGAGTTTAAAAAAAAAAAAAAAACGTGATGCTTGTAATTCCAATTTTTTGATTGAACACAATTCTTACAATTAGCTATTGTAAAAAGTGAAAAACAAAGTATTTGTTTATACGTTTGCATATTGTTTTTATTTCATCGTATAGAACACATACAAAAATTTTCACTTTTTATTTGTTTAAATAATTGGATTTTTTTTTAGATCTCTACGTGCATACAAAGGAGAGAAAGTGATTGATGTACCAACGATATTCAGTTAAAAAATTAAATTACAGTCACGTTGTCATTGTCGGCGCACAAAAATGTTAAAAGAATCCAAATATTGTTTTTCAAGTATGCAAAATTGTGTATCATCTTCAATATTTTATCGAGATATTTCAGTAGATTTAATGTGTTTTCTAGAATATATAACATTTTTTTTTACTATTTAATAGAACATGCATACTTTTTCTTTATAGAATTTTAATATTGCAGGCATTTCAAGCAATAATATTTCTCTTTGAGCTTACATTCCTCTAAAAAAACAAAAACGATAAATATTAAATATTGGTGCGTAAAATTTGTCAAGATTTACGATCACTTCGGCCATATTTTTCGCTTCGTTCTGCTATCTTCACTCTGCACTCGTACAACCACCGTTCTCCCAAACCCCTAACCATTGAACCACATTCGTGCCAAAATACACCGCAGGGAGGCGTAAGGGTGGCTCGCTTTTAACGAACTCTAGTTTGGAGTTACGATCGTTTGGCAAACAATCGAAGTTTCGTGAAGCAAACTAAACGCCGACTGCCGTAAGTAGCGAAATTTTTGTGGCTGGAGAAACACACGACGGACGCGCGCAAAGTCGCTCTTCATCCTCTCTTTCCTTTCACGGAGTAAGTAGACAAGTGCTTGTAGTACATGTTCCGTGGAAACTTGCGAATTCCGCGCGAAGTTAGCCGCTGAAAGTGTCGCAAACGGGACAGCCAACAACTAAACAACAAACTTTCGATGAACCAATTTTCTCAATTTGTCATTCTAGTTAAATATCGCGCATACAAAATACCCGTTTGTACGTGTAAACTTTTTATCGATAGATAGGAAATTGTGTAAAAGTATTATCTTTTGAACAAACATTGTGCGTTTTTCTAATCTATCATCCGTTATCTTGTTCTTCTTCTTGTGTCGCAGCGCAACTTGTTCGCTTGTTCCAAACTTTTCGACTCAACGTCGTTCTAAAGCAGATATACACACGTACTGTGTACCGCACAAAAGTAATATTTTTGCAAAAAAATGGACATCGATAATCAAGACAACGATCCTCAATTTTTGGAAATATTAAAAACCTGTTTGACAAAGGAAATTGCGGCGGTCACCGAAAAGCTGAAAAGTAAATGCAGCACTGCATTGCAATGGGAAACGTAACGTAGTTGACTAAAAAAAATACGAGATTTTATATAAAAATATGACATTTTCATACAACTGTATTTATTGGATGCTAAAGTTTTATTTAGATAAGAACTGAAAAACATGTGTGTGTTATTTGCCAGATAATCAAATGAAGATAGATAGATTCAAAGCAACGATGCGTAATGCGATCGATACAAGAAAACAACTTAAGCAGAAGGTCGTGCAAATGGAAGATATATTGTCGAAATTACGTGAGACTTCAATAGAGTGCGTACGGAATATTTATGAGAATTTTTTTTCCGCCATATCAAGAGGCACCCTCGTAGGCCGCTATTTTTGATTAAATTAATCGGCCAATTATTTGTTACACATTTATTTATTATTGCAATATCACGCGAAGATATTTAATTTGAAATACGTTTTATGCAGAGTGTACATATCCGTTAACGAAATCACGGATGCTCTAGAAACCACAAAAATAAACGCTGATGATCAGTACAAGTTGATGGAACTGAAGTCTCAAGAGTATCAAAATATTATGAACCAATACAAGGAAACGTGGCACTCTTATCACGTTAGTTAAATCTCGATTTGTAATCGTGGGATTTGATTTTGTAAAGTAACAAAAAGTGAATTTATTTGTAATTAGGCCATGTACGAGGAATTTCCTTTGGCGAAGGCCAGAAAGGAGGTTAAGATCAAGCTGGAGAAACTTAAAATCGAGTACATGATCGCAGTTTATAAAAAAGCTGAAATGACGAACATCATCAAACAGAGACGACATATCGACTGGGTCCGCACGCGCTGCAAGATAATCGAATTCGCCGCCATGATGGCAGAGACTTCCAAGCTGGAGGAGAAGTTGTTGAAGCTAAAAGTGAACGTGAATTATCGGAAGAAAAAATTGCAATCGATCCAAACGGAGGTGTTCGTCAATCCCGCTAAATCTGATTAGTTTTTGATTGTACATTTATTTCGTTTGTAATTAACGCAACTAGACATCTGCTTCTTTTTTTTGTAGCTGCAAGGACTGCGCAAGAAGACGGAGGAGCAAAAAAAATTGAGGCAACAAAAGATGATGGAGATGGTACCACCAAAGATTAACATACCGCAGCGTGAAATATACGCTCGAAATAAACTGCACACGAGAAGGCAGCATCATTGGAAGCGAATTCAAGATACTTTTGATGGTGAAAAACTAATTTTGCATTCTTTTGTGTTGCAGGATGTGGGCACAGAAATTCCTTTCGATTCATAGAAACATCCATAGCGTTCTGTGTTGCTTTTCAGATACCGCGTCTGTCAATACCTTAGCTTTCGAAGAGTTGTGTATAAACGAGAACGCCTCGATGTCGCCCGAAATGATAGATGTGGAAACGGGATTGACAATAATAAAAAACGACACTCCCAAACAAGATAAAGCTCACACGACAAAGTCTTTCAATTCCAAGATAACTGCCGAAAAAGCTGATAAACGCGCCGATTCGGTGCCGCCGCCAAATGCGGAAACGAGCGGTACTGAAAAAGTGGTACAAGTGATAACGGTAACGGACAGCGATGAAGAAATAAAGAAGATCCTTCAAGAGAAAGAGCAAAAGTCGCAAGAGTCTGTTAAAGTGCAACCGAGCTCCCGTACAAAGGAAAACTCGCTCAAACACGGCATCGTCGCGGATACACAGGGTGAAATTGAGACGAAAAGAATGCGTCTTCAAACAGAAGACAGTAGAGAAAGTGGCAATAAAATAACGTCTCTTCAGCCGTCTGTTATCGAGGAAGTGGATATGAAATCTCCAGTTCCGTCGGGTCCGAGAATCAGTAAGATAGAATCGGTGCAGTACAACGTGATGATTACCAAACCGATGCCAAAACCCAATCATCAAGAAACGGGGATTGCCGCAAGCAGCGTTATCCCCGTTATGTTGTCGCCGATATACGAATACTGCGAGAGCAATACGAGTTTCGATTTCATGTCGAAAGGTTTTAGCTCTTTCTTAAATTCAGTTTCGTGTCGCAACAGGTATGTATTTTATACAAACATAATTTTGCTAATTTTTTTTTAACAGATGCGCGGTCAGTTTACGAAGAATCTCTCTGTAATTATAAAATATCCTCGATTGGAAACATATCGCCCGAGTGCGTCGACAATGTGTCGATTACTTCGACGAGAAACTTTGCTCTGCATCAAAACGTTCAGGATGAGGGGAAAGATCCGTCCAATGAAAGGACTGCATCACGTAAATATTTTCTGGTCCCAAAACATATATTCGCAATTAATGTTCATGGTTTCGGAAAGTTTACTTCCGCGTTTTTTTCCAGCGTTTCACTTTGAGAATTTTGTGAAGAAGAAGAAACAAGGCTTCACTTTGTTTTGAACAGGTGACAAAGAAAAGATTTACTTTGCTATTTTACATACAAAACCATGTAACACACAATTCGATATATAACTTTACGCGTTCTCAGAAGTTTCACACAAGTTAGACGTCGATTAAGTTCTCTACAGATTCTGTACTGTGTGTGTACGTTTGTGTGTGTGTACTGTACAAGTTCACATTGATCAAGCAAAAAAACGAGTCTATTTTTTCTTTCCAATCTTGGTGTAACAAAAAGACAAACAATATCTCAGCAATAAAAATAATGACGTTGTCTACTTGAAACACTTGTTCGCGTTTCACTCGAAACATTATTCGAGATTATTCGTCGAATGACTATGCAAGTAAAGACTTAACTTAATGTCTGTGTTACTTGCGAAGTTACATCGTGCGTTCGCGTACTCCCTAAAGTGATCTCGGATTCTTACAACGGAGTTTAAATGGCTAATATACATCCTCTGTGTATGTAAACCGCACAGCGCGTAGATATCAAACTGCGCGACAACTTCGCGGTATGTATTAAATAAATGCTGGTTCTTGCCGAGTCTCGCGATTATGTGCCTCTGTCGCGAATTTCGGTCTCCTTTACGCTTCTCTCCCGCAATTTTGGTCCCGGCAATTTCTCCGAGAAGAGAGAGAAAGAGAGAGCGAGTTACTATCGCGTCACTTACTTCGTCGAGAGAAACAAGTTCGTTGGGAAAATAAGATAGGAAGAGGAGAGATCTCTTACGTGTGCTTATCACAGTGTGCGTTTGTTTGTGTGTGCGTGTACGCGCGTGTGCGCAGGTAGTAGAGAAAGAACAAGCACTCGGCTTTAATAAAAACGGGGGTTCGTTAAAATCCTTGCTTTATACGGCCGCATCGCGGAATATTGTAAGACTTGTTTGTAATCGCGCGCCGCGTGATCGCAATTAATGCACGACAATAATCCCCCGCAATGTTCCTGACAATCTTCTTAAGTACTTCTAAAATTCTTCTTAACCAGAAACACGACAAAATGAACGCGGAAGAATAGTTCTTAAGCGGAAATTGTCGCGGTCGGAGATATATTTAAAGACACACACATAGCCGATTCTTCCTGTAGATAATTGGCGGAGAGAGTATTAAGAACGCGAATATGAAGGAGACTAACTTCTTAATCCCTCTCTCCTCATTCTCCTTTTTCGGGCTTAATCACGTCAACCGGTGTAATTGATATAAATTAACCCGTTTTCGTTCGAGCGTTTCATTTGCGTCGCGGGGATGGAAGAATACGAAAGTTTGTTATTACCTGTCGTAACTTTTGCGAGGACCTCGCCTTCCCGCGAACCGAAAGGTGGAAGGCTGAATGAGAGAGGCTTTCAGCCGAAAGAGAGAGATTGTGTCCTTTTATGAGCCAATGTAACGATGAGAGACCGACTATCGAGCTATTTTATATCAAAAGTTTCGCATTCAGGTGTACAAGGAAGATAAATGGGACATTTAAATGGCGTAATCGTCGCACCCCAACGTCTCTCCTCCACATCGGAAGAGAACTTCAATCGATAATATCATTCTCGGAAAATGCTCGGTCAAATTTCAACAATTGTTTCGCTTGCAGAAGGTGCATATAATCTCTGTGTGTGTGTGTGTGTGTTGTGTAAATTCTGTTTCGCGTAATAAAATGCCGTAATTTAACAAATAACTCAAATTAAGTAGAAAAATAAGAAAAAAATTAATTAAAAAAGATTGTTAAATAGTAGATGAATTAAATAGTAAATGAAATTATTAATTAAATAAGAAATTATACATATACGAAATATACATGTACGATATATACGTCGAAGGAAAATAGACGGGGTTTATAAATGTAAAACCGTGTCTCTCAAGAATTGCAGCTTTTCTCGTCTCAATTTCGACGTCACGCGGAAGCTTTGTAATTCTTTTTCGCCCAACGATTTTCCTTTGACCCGCAGCTTTATGGATACGTGACTAGAATGCATCGCTTGTGTGCCTTGGCACGTCTGCGAGATAACTCGCCACGTTCTTCGAGCGACTCTTCTCATCCCGCAGAAATTGTTACTCAACTGAAAATGGGAACCGTGTGCATTTGGATAATATACATTTATTAGCACAAATTTGCGTATATTTTCAATACGAAAAATTGGTTTGCGTAATTGAACAGTTTTATTACCGCAGTAAAAAGATTTTTATGTTTCTGTTGTTCGTTTTTCCCCTCGCGTACTTCAAGTTAATTATTCACAAGCTAAATAATGTCTTCATAACTAGTTTATAAAATAATATTTAGTAAAAATGAAAAATAAAAGCGATTATACACCGAAAATGAGATGAAATTCGTATATTGATCAACGAGGCGTGATCGAAGAGGCAGCGACGCGTACTTGAAATCAGAAACATTCGCGTTCGTGTCAGCGACAAAAAGTCCACTGTCGCGAATAAAGGGGTGTCCACGTGGCCAGAAGTAATTTCCTGTCGTGCCGTGTGTATACGCCGTACATAAACGCATCTCGTAACTTGGGTTAATTACCGCAGAGCATACACACAAACCAGAGAGAGTTGGTTGGTTGGTCGGTTGCTTGCTTTTGCGCGAAATGCCACCGAAAGAGACGAAGGGGGAGTATTGTACAGGGCAACCCCTCTTGTGTACGGGGGCTTAGACGAAAACCCTCGGCAGATTAAACGACTACGATGTCGCTGATGGCCTCGCTGGAGCATTCGGTAAATTCCGGCAGCCATGGAAACGGCCGTCGTGTATTTTGGCAAGTATTTTACTGCTCACACGTGTCAAGAGCCTTGGGTTTCCTTAGAGCGAAGACTCAGTTGGGAGTTTAAAGGGAAATCTTATTCACGAGTGACACGTTTAAATTGTAATTAACAATTGAACGCATCATGCGCAAACTGTACCGCGAGCGATTGTACACACGGCGAAAATCAAAATTAAGATACTGTTGCATATTGCAAGCTTATGTTTATCTCTTTATTTTATTTTAAACTAACGTCTTTATTCTAAATAAACGACCTTAACATAATATCAGTCGTATATTGTTTTTGCAAAAAACTACATTCTTACAAAAGATAGAAATATTCTCTTAACGTGTACACACGATGAATTATAAACGATCATTGCCTCCTCCATTTTGTTAAGCAGACGTGGCAGTTGGCACTTCTAATAGATGTGCCGGAGAAAAGGGAGAAAAATAAATTGCGCGAAATTAGATGATGCCGAGAAAAAGTGGACACGTACGACTAAAGAACGAACCTCTTATTTTTTTTTTCTTACTGCCAAATTGCCCGCTCGAACTGCTCGATTTTATCACGATCTGTCGATAACAGACAAGTTCTGACTAAGGGGAGCGCGTCCCCTGTCTCTTATAGGATCATCTCGTCGGGCACGTCGTAGATTCTCGCGAAATGAAGTGGCTGCTGGGCTCGCCAACTTTGCGCACGATCGATCGGCGATAAAAACCGCTACGTCAAACAATTTCTTGCGCGTAAATTGCCAATGCTGACGATTCAGATTGCAAACGTGCGTTTGCGGATTTACGCGCAAACCGACGATCTGTAATACCGAACAAAACTGTTTCAATTTAACGCGTTCAAGAAATAATTGTAAAATAATCGTTAAATAAACATAAATATCAGAGGTCGCATTCATTTACGTCAATCGGTCACGGAATGCGATATATCGTAGCTTTCCGATGCAATCAATTTGTCTCAACATGAGGAATGTTACGTAGCGACGATAGTTGAATATTTTCCATTCGAATTTCGATGCAGTTTTATCGATTTGTACATTTCCCAAATTTTTTTGTTATTAGAAAGAGAGAGGGAAAAAGGTAACAAAAATAGTTTTCGAACGAAATACTTCTCAACATTGTATCAGTTTGTATCATCGTATATTTACAGTAGAAAAATTATATTTGTAAAAATATTTTTCTTTGTAGTATTTTTCTCTTTTCTCTCATAAACTTCTCATAAAAAAAAAAAAAAAAAAATAGTTTTATTTGCGATAGTTTTATTTGTGATTTCTTTATATTTTTCTAAAACGCGATTTATTCACGTGCGTCATTGTTTGAAACGTTCTATAAAAAATTGAAAATTTCTATAAAATGAATTAATTTATCTGTTCTGTTTGTTTTAATGATCTTCTCTAAATATTTATTTTCACAAAAGTAGCTACGCGGAACCACGCGAGAGAGAAATTATGAAATTAATGTTATAAATATATTTATGAATTAATACTATAAATATCTATATATAATTTTTTACGTGACAAAGCTGTAAAATTAGATTTTAATAAAGCGGTCTTTATTTTATTACGTAAAAAAAAGCGTTTATGTAAACTTTCGTTAAAAATCTCCATTACTTACATATTGCGGCTGTATTTTTGTACAATTACGGATGAAACATACGCATCTTTTTTTTTTCAATTGTGCAACGTGAGATTTTGTATTATATACTTCATATCTCTCGGGGTACGCAATATTTGTATTATTTAATATTCATGAAACTTTTTCGCAGTTTAACGCGCGCGAATGTGCGGCCGCGTCGCGCGCGCCGTATCGATCGAGCTGTTTGCACATCTTTCTTTGAAACGAACACGCCGTAATATCACTCTTGTAACGTCGCTGGAATTTCATTCCGTCTTTTACACGTTGCGCAGTTGCATCGCAGCGGGTTCGCGTGAAGTGGAAGAAAGCAGAAGAGAGGTCGGGGCGCGCGCGCGCGCGCTTCTAACGAAGTAGAAATTCCTGCGCAACGCCGGCCTTTGCTGGCAATCGCAACGAAGCACGTTTCCAAGCGGATATCGAAGGCTGCCTGCCCAGAGAACAATGAAGGGATCAATTACCGCGCTAGAACGCCTCACCGACGGGAATTGAGACGAAAATACTCGCGGTTGGAAACGGACGTTTGATTCGATACACGACAATACAAACGTTCTCGCGCAGATAAATTACTTTATGACGAAAAAAAAAAAAAAAAGAAAAGAACAAGCTCGATTGTGTGGAATTGTTGTTTGTGCAATTACATCTTTATTTATATATCGTTACTTGTGAACTGTAGCGCCGCGTAAGGAAGATATACATATACATATAATTAGACAAATTCAGTTAATTAGAGCACATCCATTTAATCAGTCTAAATAAAGGCTATTAGAGAATTTAGCACGCGTTGGCTCATAAAATGTTCGTGCGTTCGCTTCGAAAATTCTCTCTATGTGGCTTAAATCCATATCATTCTCGACATTTGCTACAACGAGAAGCAGACATTTCGAAATGAGATTGCGGAAGTCGGGACTTAATCCTGCGCGGACCGGATTTCATTTCATCTGATCTCAACGATCTCTCGGTCCGTTTCGTCGCATCGCGTCGGTTCACCGCGCGACTGCGTTAAGTTCGTCAAGTGGATATGCATTTATCGGTGGCGCTGAAAGCCCCTTCAGGCGTTTCCACGCGCGCGGAAAACCCGGAGGGCAAAAGTTTCACTCACGCGAGCACGGACGCGTCTCGTCGCTTCCATCCTCGCAGTCGTCGATGATGTTGCAGACTTTGTTGAGGGCAACGCAGTGCCCGTTGGCGCACTGAAACTCACTCTGCCGGCAGGAAAGCACCGTCGTCGCGGTGAGGATGCAGGTGCAAACGAGCCAATGCATGTCTGAAACACCATAAAAAGAATGACGACGTTTTTTAGTGTCGTCGAGTAAGCTTCACGTGTGTGTGTGTGTGTGTATGTGTGTGTGATCGCAGCGTAACATTTTTCACATGACTTAACAATAATTCGGTGCTGCGATCGAAATAAATCCGTATTTTAATTAGAATTTTACAAATCCGTTATGTGTGTGTGATACAAAATTTTTATCCTATAAGTTATAATTCAACGTTTTTAAAACGTGTATAATTAATGTGTCTAATGCACTGCGATGTTTTTTTGATATGATTTAATTTAAACTGAAATGATAGACATCTACACAGAATTATTCGTAAACTTCATAAAAGATTGCTGGCCTGAGACATGTATTTTTTTTTTTTTTATTTAATAACCAATCTGCGTAAAAATATTTATTCGTCACAAATGCGCGCTTATTAGTAATTAAATTTCTTCAGTAAACAAATAAAAGTTGATGAAGCAAAAATTGATAAAATGAGTTTACGAATACGTTTGCGTAGCGATCGATTGGGATAAGTTTGAAAAAGCTTTGGTAAACAAAGTCAAAATCAATATCTTATGGTGTTGTTCGCCAAACAGCCGCTGCCGTGCTCGAGAAAAATAAATATATGTGTGTTTACAACTTGTAATAGCTAAATACAAGTTCTCTGAAAAAAGATGCACCGGTGCGTGAAATTAAACTTTTTTTTTTTTTTTTTTTTATTACTGAGCTCAATTTAGTTCGTTAGCATTGCAAACATCGCGCATTCGTACAATTTCACCTGGAATTAACAGAGAATTGCTACTAACATAAAAACATTATTGTCGCGATGACGATAAAGTCCCGTAATAACACGAACGCACACACAACTTCATCCTCTGAAGTTAAATCGAACAGGAATATCGCGCGCGCGCGAGAGAGAGAGAGAGAGAGGATGAGAGCAAGAGAAGAAGGATATCAAGCTACATTCTCTCCGATTTCCGACGTCGCATGAAAACGTCGATGTTGTTCACCCAATTGAGGCGAAACTTTCGCTATTCCTCAACTTTCCCTCCTCATCCCTCTCTCACTGTAACATGATCTCTGTTTCACTTTTTAAAGTTGTGAGGTCAGATCGAAAATAGTGGTTGACTGACTTCTGTAAATGTGATGCTGAGAGAGAAAATTTTGCAATTTTTAACATAGAAATAAACGTGAGAAACGATAACGTGAGAAGAATGACTGATTTAATTTCAGTCAGTTGTATCGAGAAAAAAAAACGAAACAAAAACTTTAATATAGAAATATAAAACTTGAAAAGAATTTTGCTTCAGGATAAATAATAAACTCATTGTTTATCAAACAGAAGACGGTCGAAAGAGAAACACGATTTATACGTATTACACACGGCAAACTTCTTTATTGAAAGATAATACCAGTCAGTGCATATTCTGTGTTTCATCTTTTATGTTGAATTCCGTAAAATAGCGTTATCATTTTTCCACCCTTCTCTCCCTCCCTCCCGCCCTCCCGACCTAACGGGATGTGGAGAAAAAGGCTCACGTGTGCACTTTTCTTCCCGCTCAATCGGCTCCGATGCGCGCAGCCGAGTGATTTTCGCGACTACAAAGAGAAAACGCAAGTGCAAAATAAAAAAGAAAGAGTAAAAGAAAGAAGGGGAGATGCTTCGATATTCATGGAATTACGAAGAATGGAGGCGAAGGGAGGAAATCAGACGGACGGATAAAAAGAAAGTTATTCGTTGCGGAATTATGGAATGGTATACATCCTCGAGGAATTACGTTGGATAAGTTTAAATGTCGGGAAATATGCAGAGCTCATCTTCTTTTCCTTGGAAACGAGCGAAAAAGTTTCGCCAATGTTCGTCGCCCAGCAAGTAGACGATTCGTCGCCTACATCAATGGATTTGAGTGCTTTAACGCGCCTTTGCATCAAAATTACAGAAATTTACGTGTTGAATTTTGTTAATTCGCTACGCGCGCTCACGACGTACATGTGCAATATTTCTACAGTATCTTTATTTTAAATTAAATTTGTTGCAGTTACCTTCACCAGTACAATTAGTCTCTTCCATGTTTTTACAATTATTTTAAAGTAATTTCTTTAATTATTTGTTTAAATTCTTATTTTGTGCAAAATAAAATTATTATTGTTTTTCTTTTGTGAAACATTAAATTATTTTATATTTATCATTTTAAATTTACAACATGCACGACGTGCGAGTTTGCGAAAGTTTTTCGCGCAAAATTTCGACGATAAATAATTACGGAATAAAACTTTTTCTTATTTTCAATTTGTAACTACAAAAGAGAGGCACAACTAACATTTCTAAGAACTTCGAAACAATCAGCCCGCTGAAACTGTCAGCCCGATACTAGACGCCGAGATTATTGCTTCAAGCTTCGTGAGTTTCGTGAGTTTATATCGCACCTGTCACCGACTTTACGTAAGTCAAGTCGCTATACGAAAGGCGGGAAATTGTTCAAGATATCTCCGAGACATTGCGTCGAATATATTCCGATTTAACGGAAGATTTCGAGTTTCCGCTGCGTCAGTTCGCGCAAATTTCTCCCAGATCTTTTATCCTTTTAGTTTCCTCAAAATCCGCGGTTTGATCTCGCACGAAGCATCCCTCCCCGCGTTCCATCCTTTTCGTCCCCGAATTTCCCGAATTTCCGAGCAAATTCCTATAAATATCTCGTCGGAGCTTTAGAGAGAATTAATCTCTTAATGGAGCAACGCGGCAGATAATACAAATATATTCAACAACAAACTTTTGGATTATTGAACAATCTACTAGATTAAATTTCGACTGGTTGTGTTGGTAGTGATGTAGTAAACTTCACTCGAGTCTATATATATATACAAGTAATTTTAGAGAAGAGAGGAAATTCTGCTCTCCAAGAAAAATCAAATAAATATTTCTTTTTGGTTGTACATACACCTAAATTTTACATTTAATGTTTTATTACAAAAATTGCAGATATTAAAAAATAATAAAAAATAAATAAATAAAAGTCAGTAGAAACAGACGTTTTGTCTCACAAGAAGACGATCAGACAAATTCGATCAAACATTCATATATTTTTAACATCATCCGGAGAGAACAACAACTCGAGACAAAATTACATGTTAAGTGACAGAAAAATATCGAAATATACGCGAGCATGAAAACGAGCACTGATACAATCGCTCGCGCACCCGAATTTTTCTTCAAAGCGCATCATCAAAGCAATCAAATCCTAAGTCGCGTTCGGTCGCTATTGTCGCGGTTCCCTAACTTCTAATTGAAATCAGACTCGAGCGATAAATCCACAATGCACATCGGTTACGCGAAGATCGCGCTGTAAGCATTGTGCATGTTTCAATTATAATACAGACAGAAATTCAGATTGTCATCAAGCAAAATTACTAACCGCTCCGACGTATAACCCACTCACTGACTACACAATGGCTTTTTGGAAACTTCCTCTCGGTATAACTGCGGGTCCAACTTCATCAAAGTTCTCTTCCACCGACGTCAAATATAATATCACGCGGTGCGCGCACGCACACGTTCACCTTCGTGTCGAATGTCACATCTGCGTGTCCGTGTGTGTCGGCGCACTTATTATACATACGTCACCAGTCGCCGAAACTTTGAGCTAAAAGCGTACCATCCGTGTCTCTTGAACTGGAGCTTCCGCCATTATATGATCGCCGGCATTCAAATTCAAATGACGTTCGAATTATATATGAGATTAAACTATCTTAACGGTCTAGAATTTAAACTCCTGCGCGACTCGCGCTTCGAAAACCAAACACATCTCGTAATAATTCTGTTTCCGCTTTGATATAAATTCATATCGTTACTCAACGATCTTTTTAATACGTAATGCGAGTAAACGTAACACGCGTAATACGAGCGAACTGTGTAATTTCAGATTTGTGGCTTTTGGCGCACCTATATGGTGAGAGATGTGTGTGTGGGTATATGTAAACAAATAAAATAATTTGTTTTGAAACGCGATTTCGTTGGAAGTATGTAAAATCTGGTGTTTTTACATGACGCATTTTATCATAACGCACAATATATGTGACATTTGACAATGCAATTTGTTACACTCGACCGAATTCTCCGATCCCCCATCGGAATATTCTGACATCTCGTTAAGATTCGACGGTTTAGCTCATTGCGATCTGCAATCCAGCATACATTGTATTCTAATTTAAACTTTCTTTTCTTACTTTTTCTCTTCTAACGCACCCTCTAACATCATTTTTCACGTCGTGTTTCCCGCGGTGAGACGCGACGTCCTGTCTCTTTCGCGTCTGATCTTTTGTCATCGTTCCGTGAAAAGGAACGCCACGGATGGCTCACATAAAAGATACAACCTGCGGTTCCCCTTCCTTGTTTTCGCTCGCTCCCCTATTTTTTCTAGCGACCAACGACGAAAAATGTTTCTCGGGTTTTTATCACCGCGGTCTCCCCTTCCGTTTCTTTCCCCCTCTCCTCCCCACGCACAGTCTTGTCTCTTGTAACCATCTTTTCAACTATCTTCCTCTCTACTTCTACTTCTCACTCAATCTCGCTCAATCTCTACTGTTTTCGTCCTGTAAGGATGCCGAATGCAAAGGACTTAAAACCCCCGAGAAGAAAGCTTGTTTCTGCTCGGTGTTTGAAAGAAAAGTCGACGGATTTTCCGTGGAAATTTCTGCCAAATGAATTTGAGACTGCGCGAAGAAAATAAGCGAAGATAATTAAAAATGTGGATAACGATTGCATCAGAAATGTAATAATTAATTTGCAATACAGATACAGAAATTTCATTCGGTTTAACACCTGTCGCGACATGTACAATGAAATTGACACTCGTATCAATTAACGTTCTCTCATCTTTCTCTCTCTCACTCTCTCTCATAGATGATATTAACGCGCATATTAAGAGAATATTCCTACACGTACAGTGTGTATTTCTCTCCCAAGTCAAGCGGAATGAAGCTTAATTATTCGTATTTCTGAGGTGAG